ATCTTCATGATATGCATGGATAGTGTTAATTATTTGTAATTATGATTGGCATTAATTTTGGAAAAACTAACTTGGCAGCAACATATTGAATGAGATGTTCTAACTTGCAGAGAAACATGTTGAATAAGATGTTCTATCCATAAGATTCGACATCGTGTCTGTTACATTTTTAACAGTTTACAGTTTGGATTTATTTGGTTACTGAATATTCTAGAAATATTAAGTACCTTATGTGGCATCCAAGATTGAGGAATCATAGATTTTGTTCAAGTTTAACATTACTCTAGTTTTCTAAAATGTTGAGATATTTTAGACAACTCTTGATTGAAGACCTATTTTTATACAGAAAATTATGGAGACTTTAGCAGCTGCCTTGTTGCGTTTTTGAAGTCCAAATTCAGTCCATACGTTTTTTTATAAATAAAAGATCACAAACCTAATTTGGGGTGGAAATGTTGTATTTTCAAGTGTACTTTTTAGGTTTATGTGTTCTTATTTATTGCGGGCCTCTCTGATATCATCTTGATATAAGAGTAGGATTGTCTTTATTGAGTTGTAAGTTCTATTAATCATTCATAAGTTTTTAAACATTAAGTAATTGTGTGTCTTTGAAGAGTGACTTCTGAAATATTCTAAGTATTAGAGTTTTCATCACTGTTGTGATTAAAAGGGAATTGAGAAAGATCTCATACCTAGGTTAGTCTTAGGTAGAAGTTAAGCATGGGTAGTGATTAGGTGAGTAGATTGTAAACTAGTGATAGCTTGTTGTGGTTCTACAAATTCATACTATTTATGGGAGTTCCTCCCTGATTTGATAGTCCCCAGACGTAGGTGTTGTTGTACATCGAACTGGGTAAACAATTTAGTGTATTTGTTTACTTTCAGTATTCTTAACTGTGTTTATCTTGTCATTGTGTTTTGATCAGATATTAGTGTCTCGACATCTCTTAGGACATCTGATATCCACGTACCAGAATTTTAAATAGTATCTATATCATATGAAATTGTTTTTCCCCCTCACCTATGAGGTTATAGAGAATACTTCATCTTCATATGCTAGTTCGGCGTTGGGATAAAATTCCCTTATAATGTTAATGTTGATTTCCTCTAGGTGTTTTAATAATATCTACCAACCTCTATTATTGATTAATTTCTTGCATTATTCTCGAGAGTTCTCCTAGCTCTTTCAATCATAATTTCTTTTCAAAAATCAATTTCTAGTTTCTTAATTGATCGTAGATTTCCTCATGGTCGGGGCTTTTGAAGCGATTAATAGTATCCTGAAGGATTCAATTTTGGATTATCTTTTTCGTTCAATAACGAATTTCTTTAGGGTCGTCTGCAATTTAATCATATGAACAACATATATATATATATATATATATATATATATATATATATATATATATATATATATATATATATATATATATATATATATATATATATATATATATATATATATATATATATATATATATATATATATATATATATATATATTTTTTTTTTTTTTTTATTTTTTTTTTTTATTTATTTATTTGGCTAGTTCAACGATAAACATGAGAATGACCATTCCTAATTGCTTGAACAAATTATTCTGTATTCATGCTCTTGCTAGGCGAGGCTCGTAGCTCACCTAGCATAATAACCTTTTTCAAACCAGATATTTAAGGAATGCTAGGTGTCAACAGTGGTTTAAGAACACGTGCATATGATGTTTTTTATGTTAACATAATATTTATCAATATGCATTGGGGCTTCATCATCAATGGTATATATGATAACCATCCACTATTACCTACATTTTAGAATATGATTAAGTAAAAGATTGAATAGCTCAATATATCTTGATTGTCTTTGAATTGTACAGAATATGAACTTGATATTTTGTTTTCTTTGCAAGGCGCGTTCAAGTTCTTTCTCAAAAAATATGAAGAAACAAAATGATTTACACTCAAACCAAGACTTTTAACCATGCAAACAATGCAGGTCTAGAATACTTCTTTTTGGGGATTATGTATGACAAGATTATTTTATCTAGTACTATTTAAGATCCGTGTTTTTGCTAGGAGATCTACAGCCGTGCTAGTCGAGACTCAATGATCTTGGGGGTATGCTAGGCGTGGAATGGCCTAGCCATGTTGCATTTAGAAAGCCCGTATTTTTTATGGCTTTGGCATTAATTTCTTCACAGTGTTAACTGAAATCAAGGACTAAACTAAATATTAATTTAAAAAAAACTGTAAAATATGGTTGAGTTGTCTCCCAACAAGCGTTTGTTTAACGTTAGTAGCTTGATAGTGATCATTGTCACATGACACAAATTACCTTGTAACTTACCTCATAATATTTGATTTTGACTTTTACTTCATTGTTATCAATATCCACGAGCATCCACGTAGTTTTCATGAAATGTTTTTCTAAGATGAGAGATATTTGTTAGTCTTCCTTAACATTCTGTATTACAAAGTCTATAGGAAATGAAAACTTATTTATATGTTCATCAATCTTTGACTGCTTCCGCTGGTTTCCTGCAAATTTTGTCTGCCATTTGTAGTTGTCCTGCATATGGTTTTACCTGCAGATATCTAATTCTTTCTACCAATAATAGTGACATAATATTGACACTTGCACCTAAGTCAAAAAATGCATTTTTAAATTGTATATTACCTATATAGATAGGTAATTCAACTACTCCATGATCAACTTCCTTCTTGTGTAAGCTCGCCAAATTTTTCTTGCAAGTTTCATCCTGCAATCCTTCTTCCTCTAGTTCTTCTGCTCCTTCTTGGACATGGCGCTCGCCCTTGAGTCTACTGCAGTCTCAAGGGTGACGTAGCCCTTGGTACAGACTGATCAAGGATAATTGAAAAGATCCAATATTATGGAGATCTATCCAGAGTCCCTGAAAAGTACTCCAAGATAGAATATTTGTGAAGTTGTCAGGGTCGATTGGCACTCTTTTCACGTCCCAGTCAACGTGATAAATCGTGATTACTATAGGATCATTGTTGTAAGGGAGGACACATACATCGTCTTCTCTACAAAAGGTGATTACAAGCTCCTATTTTGTACCCAAGACGATGAGGATTTTTAGGGGTGTGACGCCTGCTGCTAACACTTGTTGGATGTATCTTCTCTTGGAGGAACTAGGTTATCCCCTTCCAGGGAAACCTCTAGCGATGGTTAGTAGTCTTCTTGACATTTTGCCCGAGCACCCTCGTGAAAAGATGGTGATAGCAACTCGTGATAAGATGATGTGTGTGTGACACAAGTCAGTTTTATTGGGACCCCATGATTGGTGTCAATTGTACTAGATAAAAGTACAATGACTACGACAACCCCTATTGAGTAAGGGCTATCAGATACTTTAGAATTTGTTGTGGAATAGAGTTACCCCACACAATGAAGTGAGAAGCTAGTATAGGTGATTTCTCTACGTTAGAGATTGAATCTCTCTTCAATATCATGGTACTGATATATTTATAACTCCTTATGGGCTTAGAATCGAGTGAGCCAAGCCTCCATGTAATATAGCAACCTTCACAGAAATTGGTGGTTAATACCTAAAAATTCAGTAGATGTGGTTAAGCCCACGACTTCCTAGGCACCGACTGTTGATTTAGTACACGCTTCACCCACAAATGCACATTATATACAGAGAAATGGGAAGTCGGACAATGATTCCAGACAAGAGGTGATTAAATCAAATCAAATTAAGAACGCTCAAACTAATACATGGACATCTTAAAAAAGAAAGTATATGCCTATCGCTTTCGTCTTAAAATCTCCCTCAATTATTCAAGTACAATTTAAAAATACAATAATAATAACAAAAAAATTTAATAGCCGAGACACCAAATTTTAACTTTAAAAAATTCTTTTAAAATAAGAAAATAAAAACCACGGGACCTAATCCAATAAAATGATCCACTATATAAATACTAAAATAATAGTTACATCAAAGTCTCTACTAATAACCCCCACAGCTTCCTTTAAATTCCACATAACATCCTTTAAATTCCACATGGGCTCGTGATCCAAAAATGAAACGAAATCTAATTCCCTTTCTATATAGTTTTTTTCCTCCTATTTCTAAAATAATTGGTGAATCCTACTTCAAGATCGAGCCCACACAACGTCTACCAATACTAATATTGCTGAGCTGAATACTTTCATCCATATCTGAGTCTGATACTTTAAACTTGTGCGAATCTGATACTTTAAACTTGTGTTAATTGTGCATCTGATTCTTCAAACTCGCATCCATTTTGTTTGATATGTCACTTGGTCTACAAACTAAAAATAAACAAAATACGAGAAGTAAAAAAATGCTTTATCAAAAGGGAGAAGTTATAACATTGTGCCAGTATAACCATTAAGCAATTTTTTTTCAATTGTATAATTGAAATGAAAACAGACTACACCAAAAACCATCTATTGGTTTTTTATATAGTGGTGTTATCGATAAAAACAAGTACTTTCGCCTCATTCTTAAGTTTTTTGGTGCAATTCACCAATCTTGTGTATATCTCAACCATTAATATTTATAAAATAGTCATTTGTTTTGCATTGACGGAAAAGAAGTAACGATCAACTTGGAGAATAATTTAAGTATATAGACGACTATGCAAGGCAAGAGAAGAAATGTACGATAAAGAACTAAGTTGAGATAATAGGTTAAGTTCATATGTAACCTCAGAAAGTATTACAATCAACATATAAGCAAAAAATAAAAAAATAACAACAAAGTACATCAAGAGCCTTTTAATGTAAACTAATGAAGTCGTTGACACCACAAAAATAATCTCCAACTGTACAAAAGATCAAAGAAGGTCATGCCCCAGATCTTCAAATTAATGCCAATAAGTCCCAAGTTGCAAGCTTGGTTTACCAAGCAAGCCTGAAAAATTAGCAAAATGAAAGCCAGCATTTAAATTAGTACTTACCAAATTGCTGGCTTTCTCTCCAAATACTGAATGGATTAGCAAGTTGAATTACGCTGTCGATGTTAAACTCAGTCTCCTGTAACATATACAAGCAGAGAAGACAGAATAAAAACAAAAATGTAAACAGATAAGCTCAACAGAAAAGTAATTGTTGAATTTGAACTCGAACTTGAACTTGCCTTATCACTGTCTTTTGCACGGTATCTTTATCAAAGGCTCCCTTAGCATCAAGAAACATCCCTGACATTGCAATTGGCTTCATACCAAAGTCCACCAAAAAAAAAAGAGAAAACAAGCAAAGGTAATTTGGTAAGTGCATAACATTGCCCATAATAAGCCAACAAAAAGTAGAAAGTTGAAACAATAGAAAAGAGAAGAGCAAAGCAAATATTTAGCCACATAGTGCCCCGTTATGATGACATGAGAGAGATATCAGGACTAAAAAAGGGAATAAAACATATAAATTAAAAGTTTGGAAAATAATGAAAAGCCAAAACCTCCAACTGTGCCTGTAGCTCTTTCTGTAATACGTCATTATTTCTACCAGCCAGTGTATTGTTTCCAAGTTTTACAGAATCTTCCATGTAAGTCATATCTTCAAATCTACCACTGGTCGTTGCCTCAACAGCCATGGCACTATCATCAATAAAACCTACCACCGGTGCAGACCCAACATCTTCAGGAGAAGAACCACCATTACTTGAAACAGATGTAACCCCACTTGAATTTGATGCAGATTCAGACCCAGATTCTGGAGACATTCGTCTATCAAACTGATCTTGCTCACAATTGGACAAACTCGTCCTCTCAACATTTTTCAACTCTTGACAATCAGATACGGCATGGACGGACATGTCACCAGCATGGAGGCATGGATTGCCTCCTGTCAAGCTATCCACAGGAGGACTAACACAATGCTTTTTCAGTACAACATTCTGCCTCACCCCTCTGTTATCATGCTTCCTCTTAAAGTTCTTCTCACCCTGTTCAGTCGGAGAAACCTCATTTCCATGAAATGATGTAGGAGACTTCTTCAGTTGTGCTGTTGACCTAGATGGCCGAGATCGTTTTAAACCATCTGGAAACACATAGCATGGGATTTGCCTTCTACGGATGTGCGAAACATGAATATCCATTCCAGGTTTCCAGAACATGTAGCTATTAACAGAATGCCGAAATTCTTCAACAGTCGCACGTATATCAAACTGACAGCCTTCTTGAACAACTTCCCCCTCTTTCCTCTGAAGACCCATGAAGAAAGCATTATGTAAACATTTCTTTGAAGGGTCAATATACTCCCGAGGATAGGGATGACACTGCAACTTCCCAAAAGTATCACGTTCAATCATCAAAGTCAGCTGTCGAAGGCGTGATTCCACCCAACCCTTCCAATTCCGCAAGTCATCAACATCAGCAGCAACTATGTCAATTTGCAAGAAGTTTTTGTAGCCTTCAAAGAAAAGGTATGGTTCAAACAGAGCCCTCCAGCAGCTTTTATTCATATCTATATCCCCACAGATTTTGTTGCCATGTTCGAACTGCTCCATCATAACACGAAGGGTGCTTGTAGAAACATTATAACTTGAATTCATGCATGGATAGGCAGGAGTGATGATTGGCATAAGATGGGTTCGATCACGAGGATTTTTGCGAGGGTGCCACAATGAAAACCCAAGCTCGTTCTCTTCGATTGGACATAACATGACAGGATTTGGCCACCTCCACTGTGTATATACCCTAAAGAACCGGGAGACAAGCATGCTCGGAACTGCATTTGGATACATCTGGCACACTCGAGCTACAAGAAGTGCCCAGTTCACACCACCAAGAAAACCTGTCACCTGAAATATGCATACAAGACAGGAATATTTTGAACTAGCATAGGATATTCAAAGCAAACAAATGAATCTGCATGGTTAGTAAGAGAGGGAAAAAAATACTTACATTGGAATAAAGACCTCGTCTTTTGGCCCAATACTTCAAGCAGCGGAGTGTTGTTCGAAAGTACTATATACAGAAATGAAAATGTTAAATAAGACAGAAAATGTATCAGGTGTAACAAATAATCATAGATGGATAATTAAAATGATAAGAAATCCAACATCACCTCAACATTTGGAACAAGCTTTAGAATTTGATCTGCAACCCTACAACCATTCAAACTTCGAACTGTAGGCTCGTCAACATTGTGCAGAACAGAGACATCAGATATGTCCAATTCCTGCCAACAAGAATTAAAAAAAATGCATGATAAAAGTCATCGGCACAAAAAAAAAATCTTATTTCTTTGACCTCCTCAGGACCAGCTCAATATAATGAACATTTGAATACTTAGTGTTAACAGGAAATGAAAATCTGGGAATTTAGATGGAATAGAAAATCTACACACACATTTAAGCCTTAAAAGATTCATTTAAAAATATAAGAACATAGAAAATATTATATACCACCCATATTCAACATCTAGCAAGAAATAGGTAGACAGTGTATAATATTTCACTTACTTCAGGTACAACCAAACGAGAAATACTAGCATAAAGAAGGTCGATCGATATTCCATCAAACTTGAACCTCATAACTGGGACATGAGCGTCCGGAATTGGTTGCAGTTCAGTAACTTCATCCACACAAGCTAGGATCTCATGCAATGTGAAGAAAAAATCATGCTGATAAAAAATATGAAAGATCAGATGTGAAAATTGAAAATGATTTTGATGAAGCACATATCAGAAAATCATGAGTGCTCGCAAACTACCTCTCGGTTTACATAGGATGGCCCAATACAGAGTGTATCTAGGTCAGCACCAGGACCATGAACCTACGTCATAAAATAATCAAAGAGAAAGGGCATAAGTGAACCAACCATACACAAAAACAGAGATGTAGTAAAATACATGCGGAGCTTGACTGAGGACTAATATTTATTAATATCTGAATTTCCATACTGTACAATTCCTTGTAAACAAGATTATAATAATCCAATAAAAAAATTTAAAAGATCAATTAAGTTTTTAATTCACCAAAAACACAAAAAAGCATGAAGAAGTTCATGTCATGCACGGGTCAAGCAAACTCACGCCAAGCCGGTAAGAACCAAAAGTGACTATGAGAGCATTTGCATCTTGAACCATTTGATCAGTGTACCCCTTCAAACGAGTTAGCTGCTTTACCCAATTCTTTACAATCTGAAACACAGAAAACAAATTATATGGTCAAATAACATTAACCATGAATGCATTCAATAACACAAGTCATTCCCACGAGTTGATAACACCCCAAAAAATCGGTATGAACACCAAGTGGTAATAATTATTAGAAACTCAGACACACAACCGTGAGTACTAGTGTTATGAACCTTGGTGATGACTTCCAATCTAGCAATATCGGCTTTTGCCATTATACTCAATTTAGTAATTATTACGATGATAGATTACAACCAACTTAAGAAACAAAAATGACTCGTGTAATAACCAATTACAAGGAAGTATCTAAGTTCCTAATCACCATTAACAAATAATCATCATGTTAATTAACCAAAACATACAGTTCCATATTTACCCCTACAACCCTAATTTCCCATGGTCAACAATATCAGAATCTTAACAAAATTGATACGATCAAATTATATAATTGTCAAAACAAAACCAAATATCTTCATATATACACCTGTTCAAGCCGCTGAAGGACCTCTAATCTCTTGGAAGCCTCCTCATTGCCCTCATAAAGCCCAGAATCAGCCAAAAACTAACACAAAAAACAAACAATTTTTCAGAAAAATCAATCAAACGTAAAACAATGAATTCATATACATCATACCTTCTCCAATTTCTTAGTACGTTTCAAATCAGCAACGGTTGGGCCAGCCATAGAAATAGCCTTGGTGACACCATATTGTTTCTCCGGCGCCGCCTGCGAAGGAGCGTTCGCAGGCTTCGACGATGCCCCCATCCTTTCAGAACTCCCCATGATCTCTCAAAACAACAAGAATCGAAAAATTGAAAATTTGAAAAGAGGAAATTGAATCTTTTTATATTTTTCTCAAATCAACGAAACAAAACAGGATAATATCGATGGATCAATATCGAATTGAAGGTAAAAAGAACCCTAAATGAGAAGAAAATTGAAACGAAAACCCTAGATCCCGAAATTGGGGATGAAAAAAGGATCAGAGGAGAAGGGAAAGGTAGGGTTGATGAAGCGGTGTGATGAATTGAGCGCGCACGCGGAAACAAAAACGAACGGATGAGAGAGAGAAAACCGCTAGAGAGAGAAAGTGAAAGAAAACGTTGTATTCAATAGTGGATTAGTGGTGGTAGGCTTCTTTTTTATATTAAATTTCAAGGTTGCCGTAATATTTAAAAAGATTTAATAGTACATGATTTTAGGTCTAGTTGGTTAAGATTTGATTTTTAAAATTATCATTATCTTAGGTTTGTTATAATTTTGTTTGTTTAACAATCATTAGTTAAAATCTGATTTTAAATTAAATTTGGTTTGAATTTGATCTATTTATTTTAATTAACAAAAATTATACAATTAAAGAATTTGTTTTGGTTTAATGATATATTTTAGTTTAAAGAAAAAATTTGAACTAAAATTTAATAGGTATGAATAAACATAATATCTTATTTTGAAAATAAAATATCATCATAGTTTTATAAAAAATGTATTCAACAAATGAAACCCAAGAAAACTAATTTAGTAAAATAAAAACTAAGTTATTAATTAAAAGATGCACTTCTAAAATTTAGCTATAGATATACTAGTAAAACATTAGGATGTGTCATATCAACTTGTTTAACCATTTGAACATTATTTTTTTTTTTTACAAATTGATAAGTACTATTTTATCTAACTTAATGTAAATGAATTGGTATGATTGTAATTTTGGTAAATTCTAGCTCATCTCTAAATTCTATCTCGTCAATTTTTTTTGTGAATATCAATTTTTTATTTATATCTATTTAAATCTGAATCTGAATGGTGATAGAAATTAAACATGTTAAATAAGATGTTCATATTGGAAAAAAATTGGACTACTACATGTCATATTTTATGGCATTGCAGAAATATGAGGAAATACGATGAAAACTTTGTCATGCTTATTAACTTTCCCCTTCTTATCAACAACATAGTTAATATATTATGAGCGAGACTCTTAATCGAACAATCTTATTAAATGGAACCCGCCACCTCAGGGTTGGGTTTGCTTGAATGTGGATGGGGCAGTTAGCAAGTCTTCCCATACAGCTTGTGGAGGTCTTATGAGGAATTATAATGGGGAGTGGTGCGGAGGCTTCTCCAAATATATCAATTCTTGCAACATCGAAGTAACAAAATCAATTGGAAGAAGTCCTTTATTGGAGCAACAAAAGGGTTGCTAAGTCAAATTAATCAGATATTGGCAGGCGATATTTTCGTAAACTTCCTTTACGTCTATAGATAAGCCAACTGATGCATATATGCTTTGCCTAAACGGAGTTTTCAGCATGATCCTGGACCTCAGGTGTTTGATGAATGACTGGAGGATTTATTTAACTTGTTTGTTAGTGACTTGATTGGGAATTCTACCCCGCGGGTTATTTCTTTGTAGTTTTCTTTTTTTCTTAGGCTTAGGCTCTCGATCTTATAAAAAATAGGATGTTGATTGTTTCTTAAAAGAGAAGAAAGACTTATTATCATGAAAAATATTTTGGAAGTTGTGTTGGCTTTTATTTCATTCAGAGTTATAGGAGAGTCTACTATACTAGGTCTATATGATAAGTGTCAAAGACATACACTTATTAGTTTAATTCACTACACTAGGTCTATGTGATAAGTGTCAAATACATACACTTATTAACTTAATTCACAAGTAATTAATAGAAAAATCTCTAATTTATTATTAAAACAACATAAAATACTTGTATGGACTTTTTAACCATGTATTCACAAAGTACAAGTAAAAAGAACCAGGAAAACTCACAAACAACAATCAAGCCCTCGCCAAGCAAAATAGTGGCTCGCCCGACGAATTAGGGCAAGAACAAAGCACATTTCATAAGATATTATCGCAAAGCTAAGACAGGGTCTCGTTAGGTGAGCAATGGCATCACGAGATGTATTCAAAGCCAAGTTACATTAAGGTTAAGCAAGACACTCGCTAAGCGAGAGTATGAGGTTTGCCAAGCAAGGAATTAGGAAAACCCCACTTGAAGTTGAGCTGGCATGACCTAAGGAAGAAGAAATCCAAGTTTGCTAAGCGGGCTACAAACCTTACTAAGTGAAGAAGCCTCACTAGAACTCTATAAATAGAAGTTCAAGTCATTCAGTTAGGGGACTTTTGTAGGTTTCTTGATAGAGACTTTGGCGAGTGTTTGACCATAATTCATATAAAAAACACAATAAGAGAGAAAGATTGAAGGCGAGAGCGTTGTCTGAAGACTCGACACAGATGTTTTTCATCTTCTTTCTTCTATATCATAATTGTATATCTACGCGAGTAAGAGTAGTTATTTTCTCTTTTTTGGGGGGTTGGATGTGGTTGTCCAAATGCTCATATGTTGATTGTGATCATGGCGCTAAGTGTATTTCTTCTTATGCTTTAATATTGAAGAAACTCCTCACGTTTAATGCTTGTTTTAGATTATGTATGTTTGTAAAGGGACAAAAAAAAGATGGCGTAAGAAGTTCACTAAGAGGGTGAGACATAACACATTGTCCTTGTCAACTTCCTGGTCGCCCATTTGTTAGAACGAGTGACTGTCATTTGGTTAGGATTCCCACTTTCCAGATCCCTTGCCATCCTGCAAAAACATATAGGTGATGAGTGCATGTCCATAACGGTATGAGAGAGGGTGTCAAATAGAGGTAACCATGTTCTCCCAAGAAACAAGGAATGATACGACCCTCTTTCCATGCTCCTAAGAGTGGGTACTACTTCCTTGGAATATGAGATCTATGCCCAAGGGATTCCTATAAACACTGCAACCCCAATATTGAAGAGGATATTCAATCTTACCTGAAAATACTAATATACAAAGCTTCTCACCTCCCTGTGTGAGATAGCTCTAACACCACAACAACCTCAAAAAACTTTGACAACCCTACAACACAAGAGGTTATCACATATCGTACTTTTAGCAAGTACAAATGGCGCCCACCATAGACCTGGTAAAATTGACTTGGGCAACCATCATTTAATTCTTCTAGATTGATATCCTCATGTATAACTCCTCTATTCGTCATGATGAACAAGAAGGTAGCGACTTTACCCAACAGTGAGTAAGACAGTGATGAGAATGCAATGGCAGAAATGCATGTTGCAATGGATGGCTTATGACTAGGGATGTAAATGAATATTTGTGGGGATGAATATTATGATATTTGTGTCCGTCCCATTGGATAAATTTGATATGCATATCTGCCTCATATCCGTTCAGGTATCCGCTAAGCGGGTAATCCACGAGTTTTAAGATATCCACGAATATTTACTAATATCCATGGATAAAACTTTTTTTAAAGTTTTTTTTTTTTTTGAAAAAAAAAATTCAGTTTATTTTAAAGACGCAAACTCTATTATCACATTGCATCCATACAATTAGCTCAAAATTCCATCACATTAATTTCCTTTTTTTCACCGAACCATAATAACTTGTAAATATAATATTCATACATTATATTTTTAACCAATACAAATAAAAAATATTGTGATTGTGAGTTATGGTGGTAGAGCAAACGAAGGAGGAATATGAAAGGAGACACTAGTTGGACTGAGGAAGGGCGATACTGGTTAGTTGGACGATGGAATAGTAGAAATAGGGTATGAAGTATTGGAGAATCTTAAATATGAAATGGCAAAATAGGATTTGTATGGAATGTGAAAGGTTTTCTTCAAAGAAAATTTAAAAATAAAAGTAAAATTTAAGGAGAGTGATTTTTAAAAGATGAAAAGACATGATGTAATAAACTAATGATATTTAAATATTTTTTTTGTAACTTATTAACGGATACATATATCTGCAGATACGAGTATCATTAAACCCGCATTCGTACTCATTAATAAACAGGTATGTAAGTATCCATTTATTTTATCTGTGAATATCCATTAAGCTAAATGCCTTGTATCCGTGACAAATTTTATCTGCAGATATCCACACGTACGGATTTTTTTGTCATCCCTACTTATGACGCCATAATCAAACTTTGGAGGATAACGTCCTTCACATCCAATAACGCAAGCAACAAACTGACCCTCTAGAAGAAACTAAAACCCCAGACCCTTGGTTTCTCTCAAATGAGATATGGGGGCACCAGCGCCAAATAAAACCAAGCTTCCCTCGCTGGCTAAGTTTGATGGGTGCAACGACCAATATAAGTGTGTCCTTCCATCACCATGTTGTTGGCAATTATTTGAGTTTCTAATTCCTTTAAATGCAAACTTTTCTCTGACACCTCCAAAAATGTTGCATCACAGTGGTACATAAGCTTGCCATAATTTCCAATCACCAACAACCAGGACTTAGTGAGGAAACTGAATCATGATTTGCAGTAAGCATGCATAGAAAGATGGCGCCACCAACCTTTTTAAAATTCACCAAGGCCCTTCTAAATCTATGAGTAAGTACCTTGCATGTTTCAATGAGGCAATTAATGATGGGAATATGTTAGACCGGCCTACAGGAGTCTATAGCCTAACCTATTTAAGGTCAGGCCAGGTCAGACCTGTTTAATAAAAAGGCTAGAATTAGGCTTATTTGGATACGGTGGGAGAATTGACTTGGATGTTTTGCGTTTTATTGAAAATGTTACGGTTTAGCAAGAGTCGCCACCGACTTTTCTTTTATCCAAAAGGAAAGGTGAAAAAAGCACAGGAAAGACCTTTGAGATATTTTCTTGAGTTCGAGGGGTAGGTTATGAAAATGGAAGGTATTAGCACCCTTTTCATCCATGGTTTTCCATGGGCTCTTAGTTACTTGCTAGATTACTTGCTTTTGTTTGAAATTGTGCTTTGTGTGGTTTTTGAAAGTATTTTGTAAAGATGCCATTGTTTAGGCAAACTTTTTAATGATTCTCATTCGTAAGAATGTATACAAAGTGTTTGATCTTTTGAAAATATTTTCAAGTTTTGAAATATGTTTTGAAAGTGTTGTTGTTTGTTTGGAAAATAGCAAGGATGTTTTTATTTCGAAATGGAGCAAGTAACTAGGAACAATCTACCTACTCAAAAGTCTTTCATGTCCATTTCCTTTCTCCTTTTACATTGTTATCTTACCATTGATTTGGTAAGTAACCCTATCTT